CCCCAAAACCCCAAAACCCCAAAACCCCAAAACCCCTTATCATCACCAAGAGATTGAAAAAATAATAAAATAAAATTTAATGCAAACTGGCAAAAGTATGTTGAGAAATATAAACAATTGTTTAGAGCAGCATTTAAGTCAAGTCATATTTGAAGAGCACGAAAAAGAAGATTCTCCTAAGAATGCAACCTTGAAACCTAAGCAAGGTAAGTAACTGACATTTTTAATAAATTGGGAGCCTCGATTTTGCAAAAAGCATCAGAGATTAATATGGATACTAAGATATTCCTATAGTGTCTGCTCCCGTAGTCTCAATATCTCAGAAAGAGAAGTCAAAAGCAAGCAACCGCCCAAGAGTTGCTTTTAAAAATCCTCAAACTCCTATTCCAAACACTATTTATAATTTCCATGAGAAAATATCCCAGAAGTTGGAAGCAGGTCCTCCGATTCATTCAAGAGGTAATTAGATTCATTAAAATATCTAGTAAAAAGCCAGACTCCACAGTACAATGTGGTCAGGGGGTCGAGTAGTCAGCCAACATTGAGTAGGACGCCTGGAGGAAGGAATAAACCAATAGAAGTTGGGAAATGTTGTTAGCTTTATTAACTTATATTTAGCATTTGCTAAACGAAGATCCAGGCTTCATAAAAGAAATATGCTAGATAACTTACTCATCGAGAAGGCATCTAATAAGTATGATATTCGAATAATCTTGTAGGGATTTGAAGAAAGAATTTAACTTTAGCGAAAAATCTCAATCCATAGCTTTTGGGAATAATTATCAGTACAATGCTACGTCTGATCATGTTTTTGGTGATGACAGTGATAATAAGAGCTCTGCTCTGGGCTTTCTATCTAAGATTGTTGAGAACAATGAAAAGGAGCTTAAGAAAATAATGAAGATGAAGAAATCTAACGTAAACTCGATTCAAAACATGATGAAAAGAATCTCTCAAACTCCTTCTGTGAGTAGTGACGGGAAGAAAGTTCAACCTTTTCACAGAACTGTGAACTCATTTGATGCTCAAAGCTCAGCAGGGGTGAAGAGCAAGCAGATTCTCTTCTATTCAGATTTAGTTCATTGATATGATTTAAATAAGTTATTCACGGTATTGGATAAGACACCTTCATACACGAGTCTTTCAATTTGAAGAGAAAGAATTAAAATAGATCTAAACAAGTTGATAATATACGAGGAAGAGATTACCCGGCTGTATGAGCTTCTTGATAAAGTGACTGACTATTTCAAACTTATTGACTTCCGGGAAGAATATAGGGCAAAGATAGTATCAGATACTATTAATCCTAGTATCAAATTTGGAAATAAAGATAGCATAAATATGCTTAAAAAGAGCAACACAAGAGTCCCTAAAACGAGTAACTCTGGCAATAAACCAGCTGGGGCAAAGGAAACATACCGAGAATTTATCAAAAACAAAGCTAGGGACTTTAGTAAGATAGAAACAGAATATTATCAAATCAAGGAGATCTTGAAAAAGACTCAAGAAGGAAAGCTGAATATGGAACAGATTAATTCTACAGATGCTCGTATGTTTATCTAATTATTTTTAGAAAAATGCAATAAGTATCAGAAGCAGATAGCTTCTATCAAGGCTCAGTTAGAGGCTATTCAAAAGTTAAAGCTCACCAGAGACGAAGAGAATCTGGTGTTGAAGTATGAAAATCAAACTCTAAAGACTAAAATTGAGAATTATCAGGATGAAATTGAGAAACTTGCTTTAAATAAAAAGAATATGAACAGTTCATCTGACCAATCTTCATCTGAACGTTCATCTTTCAAATCTGACTCTTTTGATGAGAAGGATTCCTTTATGAACAATAAAAATGACTATGAGGCATCCGGTGAGATTCTTTAACTAAATCTGTAGAGCGAGATGATAAAGAGAGTAAAGAGGAGGAAGATCATCAAAAGCTTATTCAGAGGCCAAAATTACTCCGAAAAGGAACTATAGACCCCAATTTAGGGAGATTAAGCGATGGTGCCAGAAGTCAAGGAGAAGTCAAGAAAGAAGTTAATTACAGACATTTTATTTCAAGAAAAGGATTTGGAAGTGGATTTGGAATTGAAGGTTTGAGAAATCAAGGAGATGAAGGTGAGAAAAATAACTCGGGCACTATAAAAATTGGATGGATGTATGATTTCATCTCTTGTATGGAGCTGGCTGTGAAGGAAAACAATACCAAACAAATAATGAATAAGTACTGAAACACATTTAAAAATCTTCTTGATGTAGAGAGAATACATATTCTCAAGCTTAACAAAGTCTCTACAAAATTTACTACCACTGTGAAAGGGGAGAAGAGAGAAGTTCTGATAACTGAGAGGCTTTTATTCAAAATTTTCAAGGAGACTAAAATGCTCACCATTCACGATACATCAGATAATAGGATGTTTGATCCTCGATTCAATAAATTCTTTGGGTTGAGGATAAAGAATCTTCTTGCAATACCTATTATCAATTCTAACGGAACTCTTTGTGCTATTGCAATGATTTTGAATCGTTCAAAACCAGTCAAAATTACTGAAAAAGGAATCTTGATGTACTCAAAGACTCATGAGCTGATGGCTCATATGCTGTCATATCTTGTCTCAAATCTGTTTATCCTAGATAGCTTAAGGACAATGAAACAGAAAGAGACTGAAAGAATCGAAATTCTGATAGACTCAACAGAGAAGATTTTGAGTGTCCCTTCTTCAGGATTTCTGATTTCTCAGATCGAATCTTTTGTGAAGAAATTTATGGATTGCCAAAGAGTAACATTTTATTTATTCGACTCTAAAAGAAATGAACTTTACACCCTTTATGCGACTAGCAAGTCAGAGTACAGAATTTTATCATATTCTTCTCAAAAAGGAATATGAGGATTTGTCGTCAGTACAGGAACCTCCGTGATTTTACATGAAGTATATGATGACAATAGGTACAATCCTGAGATAGATGACCCGAGAAGTGATGGTGATATCTTCTCTCTTCTTACTGTTCCAATCCTGTGTAGCAACTTAAACCGTAAGATTAGCTCAATAATCTTTTAGCAAATATGGAATCAAATGAGAGCTCAACTAAAGGAGTTCTACAATTAGCCAACAAGAAGGATGGAACACAGTTTGATGCTAATGATAGAATTAAAACAGAAGAGTTAGGTGTAATTCTTGGGAGATTCCAGAACGTCATATTCTGCCTTGAAGACTTCTTCGCTACTTGTGAGAGGGAGAAAAAGAAACTCACAAGAGCAATTCCCTTTAAGGAAATAGAAATATAAACTTCTCTGCTTCTCATAAAGATGCTTAATATTTCCAAATTTAAATGCTGATTTTAAAAATTAGGTATTTCAATAAGTCCAGTAGATCTCGGGGTTTTGGGGTTTTGGGGTTTTGGGGTTTTGGGG